ATGAGGATTCTCAAGATTTATAGAGTTATGACCACAGAAATTCGGGGTGCCGTGATGTGGCTCTGTGGCTTACGTATGTATTTGCAAATGTGTGTTAACTAAACCCCTGTTTTTAAACGCATGTTGTTCGACAGGTTAATTTGGTTTTTGATAGTTGGCTAACTGGCTGGCAGATTGAGCTGGCTTTCTTATCCCCCTTTTTGATAAATGATACCTATCCATGTTTCTTGCTGATAAAAGCCATTTTTAGACTAGGGTTGCTGACCAATGTTGTTGGTTAGCTGGCTGGCAAGTTGAACAGGGTAGCCCTATTTAAATGCGATGCCCGTCCGTGTTCACTGCTGAAAAAGCCAGTTATAGACCTGGGTCGGTGACCAGTATTTTGAAGGTTTTTTTAATTACCTTTTAGCCCTGCTGTAGGCAAGCAGCGGGCTCAACTGTCAGGTGGAAGCATTTGGGTGGCAGCGCTTCAGCCCTATTGCTTCCACACAGTGCCAGCCGCTGCCCTCCTGCCCGCTATATGTCCTGGGTTCCGCTTGCCCATCTGTGGGCCCAGGACCAGTCAGTGGGTGCCATCGGCATGCGGTTATAGAGGAGGGAGGAGAGCGGACATGTCCACTCCCCTTCCCTACTTGTCCTGACCCGAAAGTGATGTGACATCACTTCTGGGTCCCCACTGACAGATTCTGGGCCGTCGAGGCAGAATGTAATGCAGTGCGATGTGCACTGCATTACACTCAGAGGAGCACAGGGGATACATGCAGGGTCTTTTAGACCCTGGATGTCTCAAAAAAGAGGACCTGTCACCAAAAAATCATCACATAGGGAACTTTTTGTCCCCTATGTGATTTAAAAAAAAAAAAGTGAAGTAAAAAAATTTTTTTTTATTTAAAAAAAAAATTGTAAGTTACACCTAAGCATATAACCCCCCTCCCCAGATTTTTCAAGGTCCCCCACCCCCACATATGTACGTACGCACGCACGAACGTAAAAGCCATGCGCTGGGGCGCCTACACATGAAAACAACGATTGCAATACGCATGTTACATAACACCGCTCACACCAGAATGAGAGCAATAATTCTAGCACCAGACCTCCTCCATACACTATACTGATGACCTATAAGAGGCTTTAAAAGTGTAACCTATAGAAAGTATAGGGGACTGAAGTTTGTTGCCGTTTTTATAAGTGCATGCAAATTTAGGGTTTGACATGTTGGATATCTGTTTATTCGATGCAACCTCATCTTTTATATTTTACAAAAAAATTGGATAGTTTATTGCTTTTTGTGCCCTAAAATTAACTTGAGTGTATTTTTTACTAAAATCTTTGTGTTTCCTAGACCTTTATGATAATATCGTGTGACATAAAAAATTGGAACTACTGCTATTTTATTCTCTAGGGTCTCTGATTTCAGAAAATATATAGTGTTTTGGAGTTTTGTGTAATCTTCAGGCCTGAAATGATTTTTTTAAACGTGCAAAAATGGCTCTGGCAGCGAAAGGGATAAATGATAAGCTGGACACTCCCCTTTCCTGACGAGCACCCAATCGGTGCTCATCACACTGCAAGGCCTCTCCCCTCCCTGCCAGTCCCTGGTTGCGGTGCTGGAGACAGGCAGGGAAGGGAGGAGGAGATAAACAGTGCAATGTTAAAAATATTAAACGTTTAAGTCGCCATAAAGCCCCTTTTCTTTTTAAAAGCCCCAGACATTCCGTAAAGCACCTCTGCTTTAAATATGGTTTTGGTTTAAAAAAAAAAAAAAAAATATCAGGACAAGTAGATTGTCATGAGGGACAAGTAGATTGGGACACCAATTTAGTCCCTGGACAAATTTTTAAAAAATTTCCACACCCCTGAGTATGTCTCTTACCAGCTTTGCACACCTAGAGAGGGACATTTTTGCCTATTCATCTTTGCAAAATATCTCAAGTTCTGTCAGATTGGATGGAGAGCGTCTGTGAACAGCAATTTTCAAGTCTTGCCACAGATTCTCAATTGGATTTAGGTCTGGACTTTGACTGGGCCATTCTAACACATACATATGCTTTGATCTAAACCATTCCATTGTAGCTCTGGCTGTATGTTTAAAGTCATTGTCCTGCTGGAAGGTGAACCTCCGCCCCAGTCTCAAGTCTTTTGCAGACTCTGACAGGTTTTATTCTAAGATTGCCCTGTATTTGGCTCTATACATCTTCCCATCAACTCTGACCAGCTTCCCTGTCCGTGCTGAAGAAAAGCATCCCCACAACATGATGCCACCACATTTCACGGTGGGGATGGTGTCTTCAGGGTGATGTGCAGTGTTAGTTTTCCGTCACACATAACGTTTTGCTTTTAGGCCAAAAAGTTCAATTTTGGTCTCATCTGACCAGAACACCTTCTTCCACATTTGCTGTGTCCCCCACATGGCTTCTTGCAAACTGAAAATGGGACTTCTTATGGCTTTCTTTCAACAATGGCTTTCTTCTTGCCACTCTTCCGTAAAGGCCAGATTTGTGGAGTTAATGATTAAAAGTTATCCTAAGGACAGACTCTCCCACCTGAGCTGTGGATCTTTGCAGTTCCTCCACAGTTACCATGGGCCTCTTGGCTGCATCTCTGATTAATGCTCTCCTTGCCCGGCCTGTCAGTTTAGGTAGGTTTGCAGTTGTACTATTCTCTTTCCATTTTTGGATGATGGATTGAACAATGCTCCATGAGATGTTCAAAGTATGGGATATTTTTTTTATAACCTAACCCTGCTTTAACCTTCTCCACAACTTTATCCCTGTCCTGTCTGGTGTGTTCCATTGCCTTCATGATGCTGTTTGTTCACTAATGCTCTCTAACAAACCTCTGAGGGCTTCACAGAACAGCTGTATTTATACTGAGATTAAAATACACACAGATGGACTCTATTTACTAATTAGGTGACTTCTTAAGGCAATTGCCTCCACTAGATTTTAGTTGGGGGTATCAGAGGAAAGGGACTGAATACAAATGTACACCACACTTTTCAGATATTTATTTTTTAAAAATTTTGAAAACCATTTATCATTTTCCTTCTTCACAATTATGTGCCACTTTGTGTTGGTCTATCACATAAAATCCCAATAAAATACATTTATGTTTTTGGTTTTAACATGACAAAATGTGGAAAATTTCAAGGGGTATGAATACTTTTTCAAGGCACTGTATATGTTTGGACATCTGTGAAATGACCAGAGCTGAGATTGGGAGGCTGCATTGAGGTTTACAGTCCAGATTTATGTGAGCGCAGAGCGTTTAACTTATAGCAGGATTATTTCAGAGAAGCAGAGATGTGAAGATAAAGGGAGGGTGAATGAATGAGGTGAAATGAGCTGAAGTGAAAGTAACTTCTCTGAAACAAACACCAGGAAGGAGAATGAGTCATTGCAGTAAAAGATCCACAATGACAGCTCATTTAGTTATACGCAAAGGTTTCCTTTAAAGTCTATGTCTATCTATAAAACGAAACAAAAAAACAGCACGAGCCATTACGTACCTCTGGAGAGATTTACTTGCCTTCAGAGAGATTTATCCCTTGTGCTGCTGTGTCTGCCTTTTGCAACCCCCCCCCCCCCCCCCCCCCCCAGTATAATTTTCTGGTGTAACTAGGGATTAGAAGAAATAGGGAAATAGGGGGCTGTGACAGGCTCTCATCAAGAGTGTTCTACTATGCCCACCCTTTTTACCCTGCTCCTCCACTCATAAGGGCCATTACTACAGCTTCTATGAATGAAACACAATCTAAGTATGGAGGGGGTAGACCTATCAGTCATCTGCTAGTCCTCTATTCATAGATTGTGTTTTTATTGGAGGAGGAAGATTTCTGTGAAAGGAGGACACAGCAACTCAAGAGACACATCTCAACGAAGGTATGTAATATGCCTTGTGCTGATTTTTTTTATTTTAGGCGAACATAGGCTGGGTATAGATGGTCAGTTATTACACACAAAAAAATATGGATTCCCTCATCCACACAAGTGAGATAGATGGAGGAATCTCCCCACCTCACCAGGACATTGTTTTCTGACAGTGGGACTCCTCACCATCAGAATACACTGAGCAGCTGCAGCCACTGATCAATGAACGTTTTTCTAGCTTGACCTGTTTGAACAGGGATGGCCACACAAATTGAAATTTGGCCAGTCCCTGCTTAACTGGACGAATTTTTTATCCATCTGTACCCAGCCTTAGATTTTAAGCAAGACAAGGAAGCTCAAGAAGCAGAATTTTAATTAGAAAAACAGTACTCAGTGGAGTTAACCCCAGTGAGTGTAACCAAGTGACAGAAAAAAGGCCCAGCCCTTGTTAACAGGCTTTTGTTCATGTCTTCCCCCATACAAGTCAAAGGGAAATGCAACACCAGCTTGAAGTGGGTCTGAAAGATTAACTGCATACCTAATGTCAATGAATTATAAAGCATCTCAGATATGTCTCAAACTGATCTCAAAAGCATGCATTTGCCCATCAACACAAACCCTAATATGGAGGAAGTCAGGAGGATCGGGTAAGTAAATCTTTTCGATGTCCTCTAGACCTAAAGAGCTGTTAACCCTTGCAGTGCAGGCTCTAATTCTTAGTATTTATAAATCCGCAGATCCATCTGGTAACACACCTCTTTGTGCTTCTATTTCTGAGAGTTGATTCAAAACAGTAGCATATTTGAGATTTGCTAATTATTTCAGTTTTGCTTTTTTAGGATGCTAAGCCACATTCAACATTTCTGCAGATGGCCACCATGCCACTTCGTAAAGCAAAGAAGACCAAGCTTGGTCACGTTTTTTCATGAGGGACAATATACAAAACGTGATGCCCCTGCAAGATCATTATTTACATCTCCTTGTTTACAGAAACCTCAGCAATCAGGATCTACAAAGGCTCCTCTTACCTTCCGCACAAGGTTGCTTGTCAGTATTGCGATTGGTGGAGCTGCAGTGGGAGCATGGCGCTATTTGCTGTGGGAAAAAGAAGAGAACAAGAAGCTGGATCGAATGAGGCAACTTCAAAACATAGCTGTTGGACAAGGAGACTTCAATCTTTTGGACCACAATGGGAAACCATGCTCCAAAAAAGACTTACGAGGGAGCTGGGTATTGATGTACTTTGGTTTCACCCATTGTCCTGATATTTGCCCAGAGGAACTGCAGAAACTGTGCTCTGTTGTGTCTCTGCTTGAAAAAGAGCCCACAGTGCCCCCGGTTTTGCCAGTTTTCATTACTGTTGATCCAGAACGTGATAATGTGGAAGCGGTAGCAAAGTATGTTAGTGAATTTCACCCACGACTCAAAGGAATGACTGGAACCCCAGATCAAGTGAAAGCGGCAGCACAGGCATATCGCGTTTACTACAACGCTGGACCTGCTGATGAGGATAATGACTACATTGTTGATCACACAGTTATTTATATATTTGCTAAACCCAGATGGATTGTTTACAGACTATTATAACCGTACTAAAAATGACCACGAAATAGCAGAGAATGTGAAAAAACACATGAAGACTTACAAGTCAATATTCAGCTGACACAAAATGTTAATCCTAGAGTTAATGTACCTGTATATATGACATATTGTGCTTCCAGTTGTGTACAAATAAACAGAAGCACAAGAGAGAAAAACAGTGGCTGCCATTACTGATCTTATTAGAAATGCTAGCTGCCTGAATTTTAGGATCAGCAGCCTGAACAGTATTGCTAGTCAAGTCAGAATGTGACTGCTAGGCACTTAGCATTTTCATAAAGTGGTTAGCAATAGCATGCCTCTTATTTCTCTCAGTAGGTGCTTCCTTTAAAGCAGAGGTCTCCAAACTGTGGCCCGGGGGCCAGATGCAGCCCTTTACTTGCCTCTATCCGGCCCTTGGGATATTGTTCCAACTGACACCAACTATAAGGCACCATTCCTCCCACTTTCACCATTAAATGGGCCACTCTTCTTCCCACTGATACCATCGATGGGGCACTATTTTTCCTGCTAAGACCAATGATGAGGCACTATTGATAGGGCAATATGCTTGCAGTTGATACCAACCATGGATCACTATTCCTCCTACTAAAGCCAACACCATGGCAGTATTGCTCCTTTTAAAACCAAAGGGGGAGCAGTGTTTACTCCCACTGATGCTGGGACATTTTCTACTAACACTGGCCACAGTTCGGCCCCCCTAAACCCTTAAGAACAGTCAGCTGGCCCTTTGTTTAAAAAGTTTGGAGACCCTTGCTTTGACCAATTCAATACCGGGCAATTTTACACCTTCCAGCCCAGGCCAGTTTTCAGCGCTCTCACACTTTGAATGACAATTGCGCAGTCATACAACATTGTACCCAAACTAAAATTTTATCATTTTCTTCACACAACTAGAGCTTTCTTTTGGTGGTATTTAATCACCGCTGCGGTTTTTATTTTTTGCTAAATTAACAAAAAAAGACCAAATATTTTGAAAAAAAAAAAAGTTTTTCTTTGTTTCTGTTATAAAAGTTTGCAAATAAATAATTGTTCTTCATAAATTTAGGCCGAGATGTATTCTGCTACATGTCTTTGGTGAAAATAACCCAAATTAGGATGTATTATTTAGTTTGTAGGAAAGTTATAGAGTTCAAAACTATGGTATAGATCTGAATATTGATCAATCCTGAAGTACTGACAGCCAATCTAATTTCTTGAGGTCCATAATGTCAGAATAGTACAGATATCCCCCAAATGACCCCTTTTTGCAAAGTAGACAGTCCGACGTACTTCATAAGTGGCATGGCGAGTTTTTTGAAGTTGTATTTTTTTTTTGTCATAATTTTTCGGAAAATGAAAAAATTAAAAAAATTACTTTCACTATTTTTTTTTTTTTTTAACATATTGTCACCAGTGCAGTACAGTGTCATCATATAACTGGCATGGCGGTGATCAGGGACACTGACTGGTGACAGTATGCAAAAAAAATATATATATTTTTTTTATATTTTATTAAATTTTTTTTCTTTTTTTTTTTTTAAGATTTTTTTTTCGTATTTCACTATGACCAAAGTAGTACAATGTTACCATAGTAACATTGTACTACTTTGGGGAAGTGATCAGTATTTTTATTTTTTGTACACAATTTTTGCTTATAGCAAAGAATTACTTTGCTATAAGCAAGCATTTACCTGAATGACATCGATTCATTCAGGGTTTTTTTTTTTTTTTTTTTGTGCTTAGCTGTGATTTGGCCACAGCTAATCACATGACATGTGCATGTGATTAACTGTGACCATTCACACTAGTATACAATGGATGGCATGAATGAAGCCATCCATTGTATACAACTGTCATGTGACCTGCTGATTGGTCACAGCAGGTCACATGGTACCGGCAACGGGACCGATACTCAGATCTGTCATTGGCCGTGTCCGAGGTACACGGCCGGTGACAGATTGCGCCGCTTTGCAGGAGCGCAATCTGTGCATGTGCGGGAGGACGCATAGGGCATCCACCCGGAACGCTGATGACATTTGCCGCCCGCCTTTTGGCCATAGGGCGGGCGGCAAATGGTTAAAGCATACCTTTTACTCATCCTAAAGTTGCTAAATGATGCTTCTCCCTAGATATTAGGCAACATAAGCTACTAATGTGCTACTTTTTGCTAAGCAGAGGGACACAGTTGAAGCTGCAAAATACACCATTAACATACATATATTGGAGTTGTTTTACCTGCCGAAGCAATTTCTAATTCTGTCCATCTGTTCCTAAGATTTACATTCCAGGTAATATAGCCCGGCTGTTGCCCCTTATTTTCTGCTGCAGTTAAGCAACAAAATGAAGGTCACCTCCCTACACCCAGCCTGTGATTGGACAGTGAATGAACAGCAGCAGACTAGTATGATCATCTATCCACTTTCTCCCGTTATCAGTATATATGACTCCTGATTGGTTCAAATTGGTTTCCCCTCCCTTTTTTTTTCCTAGTTAGTGCTGCAGTACAAAAGGCTGATGCCTGATCAAATTCAGGTATTTGCATCAGTTGTATTTAAAAATACATTTGAAGACTTTTTAATACATATATAACTTAATTTACTGGACTTTTTATTGAATTGTCTGGCTGGAGTTCAGTTTTAACGTAAGGTACCACACGGAAGCTAATGTTACTTGATGTCCAGGAGGCAGTTTTTTTAGTGATATTAGAGAGATAACAAGTTTGTTCTTTAGAAAAAAAATCAGCTACCATTAAATTAAATCCTGTGAAACATTGCTTGCATTGATTTATATCAGTTATACATAAAATGTGTATTTGAATAGTCATTAGTTTTGTACACTTGGTTAATTGTATTTATTTTTTTCTCCACATTGGGCTGATGTGTTTTTGGCTCATTTAACAATTAAGAATCACATTTTCCACATTGCGGAAAAGTCTGATCTTACTGTAATCTAATTTTGAGTCTTTGCATTTTGTTATACAGAAAATGTGTAGATGCCAATTTACAGAAAAGAAAGCCTTTCACAAAGGTGGAAAATGTTAAACTAACTGAGCAGATTTTCAAAAACTGTCAGATTTTTGAAGACTGTGTCCCTTAATGAAGGCTTCTTCCCCTTATCCACCATTTTTGAATGTCCAGCGCACATGCGCAGACAAAACCGAGCTCTTGGACCTCCTCAACTCTGTTGTTCGAGATGCTGAAGGTCAGGCAGAGGCCTTCAGCACAATTGTGAAACATCATCCTTGGTTAGGCGAGAAAGGAGGAAGTGCTGCCTTGCAGCAAAAAAAATAGGAAGTAAAGTTTAAAAATATACCATTATGGGAGAGGGAGGGAGCTGAAGGGAAGAACACTCTTGCGTATGGGGTGAAGGTCCACTTTAATCACTTGCACTCTTGAGGATTTACCCCCCCCCCCCCTTCCTGACCAGGCCATTTTTTGCATTATGGTGCTGCGTTACTTTAACTGAGAATTGTGTGGTCATGCAACACTGCACCCAAATGAAATTAACATCCTTTTTTTCCCACGCATTGAGCTTTCTTTCGGTGGTATTTGATCGCCTGTTTGGTTTTTTTATTTTTTGCGCTATAAAAAAAGAGACAATTTTGAGAAAAAAAAATATTTTTTACTTTATGCTATTAACCACTTGCCGACCGCGCATAGCCGAATGATGGCTTCAAACCGCGGCCGGCCAGTTCTGAGTGGACGTCATATGACGTCCTCCCAGAACGCGCTCTCCTGCGCGCCCCAACCAATTAGGCGATCTCCGTGATCGCTGTGTCCTACGGACACAGCTGATCACGAGATGTGGTGAAAGGCCGATCCCACCGGCCTTTTACCACGTGATCAGCGGTGTCCAATGACACGCTGATCACAGGAAAATGCAAGTGCCGGTTCTCGGCTGCACTTTCCTCACGCTGTCAGATCGTGAGGAAAGTACTGCCGAGAACCGGCAGTTGTCAGAGCGGGGATCGGCACCGATCATCAGGGCACTGATGATCAGTGCCCTGATGATCGGTGCCCAGCAGTGACCCCCGCAAGTTCCGATCAGCTGTGCGCCCACTAGCCCCGCCCACCCATGCGGTGCCCCCACCTGTGCCCAGCAGTGCCCCCACCTGTGCCACTCTGCAGTGCCACCTACCTGTGCCCAGCAGTGCCACCTACATGTGCCCAGCAGTGCCACCCACCTGTGCCCACCCACCTGTTGTGCCCACCAGTGCCACCCACCTGTGCCCACCCACCAGTGCTGTCCACCAGTGCCACCCACCAGTGCCACCCACCAGTGCTGCCAGTCAGTGCCACCATCAGTCAGTGCCCAGGGGTTGTGCCAGTCAGTGCCGCCAGTCAGTGCCCAGAAGTGATGCCAGTCAGTGCCGTCTATCAGTACCCATCATCAGTGTCACCTATCAGTGCCGCCTATCAGTGCTGCATATCAGTGCCGCCTATCCGTGACCCCTAAATGATAGTGCTGTCTATCAGTGCCGCCTATCCGTGCCACCTCATTAGTACTGCCTATCAGTGCCCTTTAGTGCTGCCTATCAGTGCCCATCAGTGCCGCCTATCAGTGCCCATCAGTGCCGCCTCATCAACGCAAATCAGTGAAGGAGAAAAAATACCTGTTTGAAAAATTTTATAAAAGAAACAAACTTTTTTTGGTTTTTTGCACTTTTTTTAATTTATAGCGCAAAAAGTAAAGCGCCCAGTGGCGATTAAATACCACCAAAAGAAAGCTCTATTTGTGAGAAAAAAATGATCAAAATTTTTTGCATATGGGTACAATGTTGCATGACCGCGCAATTGTCAATCAAAGTGCGGCAGCGCTGAAAGCTGAAAATTGTGCCTGGTAAGGAAGGGGGTATAAGTGCCTGGTAGGCAAGTGGTTTAAAACATGTCCAATAAAAAAAAAAAAAAAAAATTTTCATAAATTTAGGCCAAAATGTATTCTATGTCTTGCTAAAAAAAAAAAAAAATTCCAATACGTGTAAATTAATTGGTTTATGTGAAAGTTTT